AAATCAAAAGAGGCAAGAGAGTTGGTCATTGTATTGACCCAAAAACCAAAAACATAAAAAACAAAGTCCACTTTAACATAATCCTTCTTTCTTTATTATTAAATAAATGAGGAAAAAACGAAAAGCTTTGCCAAAAGGATAAAGAATCTGAGATGCCAAAGAGAATGTTAAAAGTGAACATTGTTCATCCTCTTCAACCTCTAGATCGGTCATCTTGACCATGTTTCAACCTACAAACCCAAGTGACGATCCGACTTGTTTTTCTTTGCTTTTTAATGTTAAAAGTGTCGTTTAACATTACATGACTATTGTAAACATGTTTTACATTCATTTGGTAGTATTCGTTTAGATTAAGTGATTCAAAACAACAAAGCCCATGAATTTTAAAGATCTAAACCAACAAAAATCCGGATAACTAAATAATATATATATATATATATATATATATATTCTTTTTATCATGTTAATACTATTTTTTTTTGTTTTATATTATTTGATTTTATTTCATTTTCCATATTAGTTTTTATTTTAATTCTTTTTTTATTTTATATTTTACTTTATTCTATTCTTACGTTAGTTTATTTTGTTATTTTATTTTATTTTTAACTTTTCTTATTTGTTAAACGTGCTAAAAAAACAAAACAAAAATGGGAAAAGTAAACTCTGTTTTCTTTTTCTTTGTTTCCACGCTATCTTCCTTTTTGGATGCGAATACTTAACTCAGGCATGTGCGGACTTGCTCTTTATTTTCACAACATCCATTTCTTACTCACGGAAAAACACTTTCCTCATCATCAATTCATCTTTCATTTGTTCAGCACCTGAAAAACAGAGAACAAGTAATCCCTAAGCTTCAACACCTTCATTGCTAGCGCCAAAATACAAAGCACAGAAACAGAGGGAGAAGAGAAACAGAGAGAAGAGAAACAGAGGAAGAATGAAAGGTTTGGAACGCTACGAAGAGGGACGACGCTCTTGTCGTGAGTAACGTCGCCGATGGTCTTGGCGACGACCCGTGGCAACATCTTTTAGCTGAGCTTGAAGATCGCCGTGGTGTTTGGTTTGGGGTAGGCAAGGTCTGAGCGAGAGAAGACGAAGATGGTGGTCCGCGGCGGCGCTCCTAGCCGGTGAGGAAAAGCGACGGCCCCGGCTTGGTCGCAGCGGCACGACTTGCGCAGGATAGCGGAATTGACGACGCCGGCAACTTCGTCGGTCCAAGGTCGTTGCGACGAGAGCAACGGGGCGCGAGCAACGGTGTCGGAGCTTACCTCTCTCGCGCGCGGCGAAAGGAGAAAAACGAAGGTTAGACTCCACGAACGGCGACACGTTTCGGCGCAGAGACAGCAACCGACGGTGACTTTTGGCTGGCCCAAGGAGATGTGCGACGACGCTAGTCTGGAGCCATGGAGCTGCCGTGGACGATGAAGAAAGCCCCTAAGCCTCCTTTGGTTCTACGCGAAGAAGAAGAAAATCCTAAGCGCTTTCTGATTTGGAATAAAAAATGGGCTTCGACACCCAACATTCACCAACATTACCCTAAAATTCATTGTTGCACCCCTATTCCTCGTGGGGCTTCGATCACAACACACCCCTGGTTTTTCTCTTACTGAGCCTTTTTTTTTGTTTTGATTGTAGTTTGAAATTTTATTTTATGCTGTTGTGGTTTTTGTTGATTATTAGTTTTTTTTTAGGCTTGCATGGAACCTCTTTTAAGATAACCCACCCCTTTACCTGTGTTTTATTTTATTAAAAGATAACCCCACCCCTTTGCCTTGTGCTTTATTTTATTAGGCTTGTTTGTCTGCTGTATTCCATTTCACACACTATTTTTCTAATGAAAATATCTAATAAAAATAAAAAATAAATAAATAAAAAGATAAAAAAAAGATAAAATTATAAAATTAAAAAAAATGGTTTTAGGACATCTGAAACATCTCCGTTTGCAAATAAATAAATAAAATTTTGATTTGTTAGTTTTTTATTATATAGATTATAAAATAACAAAAATAGCCTTACTGTTCTTTAATTATTTAGTACCCTTTTAATAGCTATAGTATAATTTTATTTTGTTTCAATTTTAAGTCTCTTTAAATATACTTACGTAAATAGTACTTTTACTTTATATTTTATAATTTCATTTTAAATACTTATGTAAATAATATTGTCATTTTTATAAATAGATATGTTAAATAATATTATTGTTTCATTTCAATGTTATTCTTATTTTATATTAAATCCTTAGGTAACTATTATACTATTTATAATCTATTTTAAATATTTTTGTAAATACTATTTTTATATTATAAAAATTACAAAAAAATAAAGATAAAAAGTAAAAATTATAAGGCAAAAAATAATTAAATATGGTTCTAATGATATGAGTACTTGTGCGATCGTCCGCATCGGCTTAGTACTCACTATCCAAAATAATAAAAAATTAAATAATGATATGAGTACGCATGAGCCTAGTACTTAATATCCTCAATCCTAAAAAATCGTCTGCATGAGCTTAGTACTTAATATCCTCAATCCTAAAAAATTTAAATAATGGTATGAGTGCTCCTGCGAATCGTCGGCATCAGCCTAGCACTCAATACCCTCAAATTTTCTAAATAAGTAAATAACGGTATTAGCACATGTGTGATTGCTCGCATCGTCCTTGTGCGGGAAACATTTATCTTTCTTTATAAAAAATACCAAAAAAAATTTTAAAGGTTAAACACATGTGTGATCGCTTGCATCGTCCTAAAAACCTTTTCTCTTTCTTTTATAAAAAAATACCAAAAGATATTTTAAAGGTTAAGCACATGTGCGCTCGCATCGCCCTTGTGCTAAAAAGCTTTTCTCTTTCTTTCATAAAAATACCAAAAAATTTAAAGGTTAAGCACATGTGTGATCGCTTGCATCTCCTTGTACTAAAAACCTTTTCTCTTTCTTTTATAAAAAATACAAAAGAAATATTTTAAAGGTTAAGCACAAGTGTGATAGTTTGCATTGTCCTTGTGCTAAAAACCTTTTCTCTTTCTTTTAAAAAAAATACCAAAAATGAAAAAAACCTTCAAAAACTAAAAACATCCATTTTGAATAAAGAATCTTTCAGCCATAAAAACATCCTTTTTGAACAAAAAATCTTTTAGCCAGAACTACGTGATCCTTGTCGGGCCCAAAACCCTAAAAAATATATTTTATTTCTTTAGAGTTTTATTTTAGGGATAGTTAAACATTCTGAAAATCATATTCGCGTATTTAGTTAAAGGTATTGCCTTAGGGCAGACTTGTAGGATGCAATACCTTCCCTACACGGGGGTACAACCGACTCTCGAACCCAGATCTGGTTCTTGTAGACCATGCTATCCTTTTATGGTTTTTCCGTAGTTTTCCAGAAATAAACTATGGTGGCGACTCCAAATCTCTTTTCAAAAACCCGTTTCTTTTTGGCTTGTCGTCCTGTCGCAATTCCGACTGCGACACAAGGCAAATGAATAAACATACAGAGGCTCTGATATCAAATGTTAAATAAAATGTGTACAAACTGACCTAAACATGTTACATAAAATTTTAATAACACATCCATATCAACACAATGAAAGCAAAAAAGTGAACAAAATGTATACCCCTGCCATTGTAGCTTAAAATCCGAGCACAATTTTGTTTTCTAAAGCTTCACTCACTCAAGACTCAATGTTGTGTTTATTCGAAACTTAGTGATCAAAATTGAGAGTATCACATATCTTTTATAGAGTCTGACCATCATAGGACTCAAATGAATGAGTTTGTTACTACTGCGTAAGTTAATGAAACCAAAAATTAATAACTGTTCCATAACTTCTATACAATTGAAACAAAATGTTTAACAACTTAATAAACCACATTATGTTCCTTAAATAAAGGAACCAAAATTGTCACAATATTTAAAATATTACTAACATCAAGTATTTATAAATATAGTTTGTTAACTATTATATTAACCATACTTGTAAAGGACTATTCATTTGATAGCGCAACTTATCAAATTTGATACAATCCCATTTCTTTCCCCTCATATCCACCCTCTCGTATTCACTCTTCAATCCAAATGGAAACTAAAAGAGTTCCATATCAATAGTAAAGAAGTAATAATAAATTATTATTGACTTACCTAAAAAATGTCACATATTTAGATTATAAATAAAAGATAATAAAAATTTATGACATATATAATAAATTAACATTATAATAGCAATAATATATTTAATACCATATATTTTATTGTTATATGATATAAAATAATATTTATAATATCAATATATCATATAATTAAATTATTAGTATTTGATCATATATTTATGTTAATATATTATAATTCACCATCAAATATCTTTGATAATATTAACCACTTTAAACTAATATTATTGAATGTATTTGTTAAATAGCATTTTTTATATATTTGTTAGAACATCCAAGTACATATATAAAATAAAATAAAATAAATATTGTGTCAATATTGATAACATATTTATTTTATCTCAAAATTATGAAACTTTTTGTTAAAGCTTCATGCAACATGTGAAATGCTTGAAACATTATACATGGTCACATATTTATCCATCTTGTTGATGATGCTTATGTTTGTTAACAAATATTTACCTCAACCAATTACTCAAAAACTTCTGTATACTTACTATTTTCAACATATAGATTTATAAAAAGTTGAAATAAGGATACAAAATTTAAATAGATATATTTAGAGATAACAGAAATTCTTAACACAATTTAAAAATATTTTTAAATACAGAAAATTTAAAGGTACAATAACAACAAATATCACATAAATATAAAATTTCTTTAAGCAAACAAAAGTTACAATGGATCAACACAATAATAGTATTATGATGAAGTAGTTATATCTCATAAATACATGAAAAAATTATTCAAAATAAGATATAATAATCTATCTTATCTGGTGGTAAATAAGTAGTCATCACGTTCCAATTACAGCACAAGAAAAAAACTGCCAATTGTGTTTTATAATTAAAGAAAGCCAAAAATCGTAGAAGTGAGTGGGAAGAAGTTTAAGATCACAAAAACGTGGAAAGGACAAGAGAGTAATATCAATCGACCATCTTTACGCATATTCGAGTCTTGTCTGATCGGTTGGTTCTCTCTTTCCTGTTTCATTCCTATTTTATTTTGTTTTTCCTCTTTTCAGATTTGGTAGGCGGCACCTCCAAATCGAACCCTTTTTTCTTTCCAATTCATCGTTCCTCAATTCTACCCAACACAACACCTTCTCTTCAAGTTTCCCAAAACGAACATAACTAGAAAACGTTCATTAACCTTTGGAAGGTTTGTCCATTCCAAAGAGCAAAAGCCTCGAACCCTTCCCCTCATCAAAGTTTTCTCACGCTTCGTTCTTGAAGTTCTGGGGTTGCTCAGATTTGAGTTGGGTATCGAGAATGTTCAACGGCATGATGGATCCCGATTTGATTAGAATCGCTCAGGAGCAGATGAGTCGCATGTCACCTGCTGAGTTGGCTCGGATCCAACAACAGTATGCCTTTTATCCTTCTCTACTTTTCTCTGCAATTGTATTTGTGGTTTGTTGCATGATGTTTTGGGCTCTGAGGTGCAATGTCAGGAATCAGGTTTTTAAATTGCTGTGGGGCATTTGTAGTTTCCTTGGCGATCGTTGATTTCCTAAAATAGTTTATTGATGCGGCCACATTGGTGCCAGGGGATTTTTTCTTTTTTTTAAATCCTTTTCAGAATTAACTGTAATTCGTTATGAACTCATCCCTCTTGATGCCCTTCTCGGAGGGTACAAAAATTGGCAAAGTTTTGTGGGTTTTGTTGAAGAAGCTCTAAATCTAAAGCTTTTTATAATTATTGTTTGGCTACCTTTTTCATAATGTCTGTTGTTTTTGTGAATTTAAATTGAATATTAGGGTATGGAATGTTAGTATTTAGATAAGTTTTTTTTTTCATGTTGAGGGAACATGTCTTGGGTTTTGATGCCGGGGTTTGTATATATGATCAAGATTAATTGTGTTGTTGTGCAATGTTACTTGGAATTGCAGATGATGTCTAATCCAGAGCTGATGAGGATGGCCTCGGAAAGCATGAAGAACATGAGTTCTGAAGACTTTAAACTTGCTGCTGAGCAGCTAAAGCATACTCGTCCAGAAGAAATGGCTGAGATTGGTGAGAAGATGGCCAATGCGTCTCCTGATGAAGTGGCAGCGATGCGATCCCGGGTTGATGCCCAGATCAAATATCAGTTGAGTGCTGCTGAGATGTGAAGAAGCAGGTGAAAGCTGTTAGTGAGAACTTTAACTGATGTGTCTTTGTAAAACATGACTGTAAACCTCTGGAATTTTTTTTTTTTCTCTTATATATTGATTTGTCATGCATGAGATGAGAGAATGAGATGAATAGATTTGTAGGCAAAAGGGAAGATAGCGGTATGAAAGAGTAGTAACAGGCAAATTTATTTTTTTCATGTTGGATGCATATATGACAATGTGGCAGCCTGTTAAATTAAAATAATTCGCTGAAAAACAAATTATGATACAGTGAGGAAAATGCTTTTCAAGAATTATTGATCCATTGAGAAAGATATGGAATGTTCTAATCGGAAAATATACATGCCGTCATTGCATAATACTTATAAGACACAAATGTGGCACTGTTATTACCCTCATAACATATTACAAATTTTCAGTTTCTGTAAATATCTATATCGATAGTGTGTCTTGACGAACTAAAATTAAAACTTGCAGGGCAATGAACTTCATAGTCAAAGAAAGTTCAGTGAAGAGTTTGAAGAAGTATACGCTGTATGTAAACTTTCTATGGCCAATTTACCGTCTCTCACACTTTTTTTTCTATCTCTCCCTATTTGAGAATTGAAACATACGACTAAATTATCATTTTTGTATTCTTATACGCTAATTTAATTTTTAATATTATAGGCTAAAGAAAACATCAAAGAGATTCCATCTTTCCAAAGTAGAAAGCTTCTTTTTGGCATGTTCTCTCAACTTGATGTCCTGTTACTTGAAGACAAGGCAATATAATGAGTGCCTCAAAAAGGTTCTGAGGTATTTGTAATTCATTTCTGTTAGAATATTTATCCTAATTATCATGATTATATTGTGTCTAGAGTTACCCTATTTATCATGATTATATTATGTCTAGAGTTACCTTATTTATCATGTATTCTGTCAATTTACTTTTATAAATAGAAGATTATGAGAGAGATCAATTAAGTCCTCTAGAATTATTTTACTGTTTTAATCTTAAGTTGGTATCAGAGCAGGTTTTTTGAGTCTCTTCCTACTCTATATTTTTTGCCGTAGGTGGCCTTAAATTTCATCTTTTCTGAATAGTCCCGTTCTGATTTCTGTCTAGTCTCCAAACCTTTGTCTGCAACTATCTAGCACTGTTTGTCAATGTACAACGCCGTTTGCAGTTGTCTGGCACTGTTTGTCGTTGTTTGGTGCCATGAGGAGAAAGTTTGTCACCATCAACCTCTATTCTCGATGCCGTCCGCCTCTGTCTGCTGTTTCCCACTATCTGTCGCTATCCGCTGCCGACCACTATCCATCGTTGTCTGCTACTGACCACTATCCATCGTTGTTCGCTGCCGACCACCGTCTACTGTCTTCCGTTGCCATTTGGCACCACAGTTTAGTCCGACAACTAGTGGATCTAGATCGTCTCCTTGAGCGAGATGGCTAGTTCTCATTCAGGCGTCGCCATGTGCGCCACATCTGTCCGACATCCGCCTTCGCTGTTGTCATATTTTCTCTAGAGAAGTTAGGGGTTTTGTGAGCCTTGAGGAGCGCGATCCATCCATCCCTAGTCGTTGCCCCATTCTCATTCACACGTGCTGTTACGCACGACTTCTCTCCGATAAGCTTCCGGTGTGTGTTTATCACACGCTACCTTACCGGTGTCGGAATCACACCGTGCCACTACCGTTCTTCTTGTTCGACCAAATAAAAAAAAACTCTCTGTTTTAGTAGTATTATACCTCTGTTTCAGCATTCTTCCTTAGCCTCCTTTCATAATATTTGTTTAGTTTTGCATATTGTAGTAGCTGTGATGTTCTTGATGACTTGTGTCATTTATTTACAAGTATCTAAGGAGAGTCGGTTGATAATACCAAGGAATTTCAACACTAAAGTCATGGGTTGAAGGTTGCTCATGACACGAGGGGAAGTCTATTTCTGGCAAGATTAAGAATCTTAGTCAAACAATTTCACCAGTCCCTTGTCAGATTTGTTTTTGGATGCTTTGATGAATTATGGAGACCATTATGATCTTCCACCATCACAATTTGTCATCGACGTGTCATCGTTTCTGTCGTTCGCTGTGAGTGGAGTATGTTTCGGCCTCTACAGGCCCCATCAATCAATGTTGGCAATTTAGTCCTTGTAGTTTGTCACTTTCAACCACTGTAGTATGTTTCAGCCACTGCAGACCCCATCAAACTGTGATGGAAGTTTTGTCACTGCAGTTTGTTTCCGCCACTACAGGCCCCATCAGTCAGTGATGACAATTTAGTCCTTGTAGTTTGTCACTTTTAGCTATTGCAAGCCCATCCATACCTGATGGAAATCCCGTCTTTGTCGCTCTCTACCACTCAACATCCACTTTTGATGGAAATCAACTTTGTCAAAGTCATCCTACTTGAGGTTCATGGTGCTAGTTGAAGTTTCGTGGCTGTTCAATATTATTCTCCATAAGTTTGTGAGGAGTTTCTTTGGTTACACGGGTTTGTGAGTTCAATTTGGTTTAAGACATTCTTCTCGCGATGGTCTAAAGCATATGTGCAATTTTGTTGGAGTGAGTTTATTATTCCAATTTGTATGCTCAGCTTTGAGGGGGAGTTTTGTCATGATTATATTATGTCTAGAGTTACCCTATTTATCATGTATTCTTGTATCAATTTATTTTTATAAATAGAAGATTATGACATGGATCAATTAAGCCTTCTAGAATTATTTTACTGTTTCAATCTCAAGTCTTTCTTTTGCCATTGAAAATGCGGTTAACTGTAATAACCAACTTCAATGTTTAAGTAGTGGGTATTGTGTGGATATTCTTCAGCTTAGAAGATAGGAAAGAAAAAAATAATTTCTCAATTCTATTTTTGCTTCTGTAACAATGCAAATACAGTCGTGATTTTAATTGGCTATTTGGAAATTGGCTGTTTCATCCTAGAATTGCATTAATGTGCTTTAACTATGGTAGGTTTTGGCATATGACGCAACGAACCTTAAGGCTCTTTATCGAAGAGGTCAAGCATACAAGGAACTAGGTCGACTAAATGTGAGCTTTGTTGTGACTCCATTAACATTTTTACATCAAGATTGACATTTTATTTCAGTTATATTTAGTACGATTTCTGTTTCTTAGGGATGCTGTTTCTGATCTGAGCAAGGCGCGTGAAGGTCCCCTGATGATGATACAGTTGCCAGAGCTTTTACGGTGTGATGCTACTTCCTTCCACATACTTGCACCTATCTTATAAACATAAGTAATTATTGATCTACTTATTAAATATATGCATGACACATCTACTGATGTAATTAATTATTAGCAAGTGGTTTAAAGCCAACAACCCCACAAAACGCTTGGAGTTAGAAAGTGCGGTTTAAGCTAACTTCAACCCCACCAAAACCGGCTTGTAGGGTGAGGTTTGCACCTCACTTATATATTATAATTTGGCCTTATCTCTAGTCGATGTGGGACTTCCAACATTAATGAATCTTTAATTATGATTTATGAGTAAATTTTCTTCATTTCTAACTATAAGTCCATTAAATATCGGATGTATACTGAATTAAGTATATTGTTATATGTTTACTATTATGTTTTCAATTTAATCATGTGTAATAAAAGAATTAATGTTAGAAGTAAGCTGATATAAAGTGCTTATTTCAGGGATACCAAGGAAAAATTGACGATGGGAGGTGGTGAGCAATTGACTAGTGGTATGTGTGCCCCCAATTTATTTTTCTAGTTTACCTTTCACCTTGCCTTAACCCCATCGGCTCTATGGTTAATAAATGTCATAGTTAAGTTAACCTTGTTTACATCATGCTTGTAGGAGTAGTAATCGAAGAAATAACTGAAGAAGTCGAGGATGTACCTCCTAAAAGCTCTTTGGAACAAACAGCGGTTCAAAAAAAATCTGGTGACACCTCTAAGAGTACAAGTAATGCTAACAATGGAAATTCAAAATCAGATGCAGACAGTTTAGATGCATTGAGAAAGGATCCTGAAGCTGTCAGGTAGTTAGCATTTTTATAAAAGCTGTAAATGGTCTGTTTAGAAAAACTTCCTCTAAGCATTTATAGGAGAAAAAAAGGCAATGAAACTTCTCTTTAAGCTAATTTGGAAGTTTTTATATTGACAATGATGTATTCGATGAGTTTAACTTTACGCAACTAATTTTGTTAACGGAGAAATTATCCAAAAGGATCTAAGCATGTTGTGTTTTCTATAGGTCATTCCAAAACTTCATTCAAAATACAAATCCTGCCACGCTGGCTTCTTTGAATGCTGGACAATTCAAAGATGTGTCCCCAGATATGATCAAAACCACCTCTGATGTAATTAGTAAGATGTCACCTGATGAACTGCAAAAAATGCTTGACATGGCTTCTTCATTTCAAGGGGACAACCAATTTTTAAGAGGAGGTCCCCCTGATTCTTTTAACCCAGGATCAATGCCTCCCAATGTGACACCTGACATGTTTAAAGCAGCAAGTGATATGATAAGTAAAATGCCAGCTGATGACCTCAAGAAGATGTTTGAAATGGCATCATCACTCAAAGGGAAAGAATCTATTCCATCAGCAGCAGCAGTAGATGAGATCCAAAGAAATGTTTATAAGTCGAACATCCCATCATCAAGTACTAGTGAAACTAGTCATTTTGGGGAATCAAGTTCTTCTAATAATGTGTTTTCAAATATGAGAAACGCTTCTCAGTCAAACTTTCCTTCCTCCAGTCCTGATCTACAAGAACAGATGAGAAACCAGATGAAAGATCCAGCCATGCGGCAGGTTTGTTTCTATTACTGGTTCAGTATATAAAATGATTACTAGCTTTCTTTCACATACCTGTCTGGAATTTAAATGGAATCAAGTTTCCCTCTTTATTACTCACGTTACTGTGAGTAATTTCTGATTGGGTATTTTGTTTAATTATGAATCTGTGTTACTTTTTAGTCGCCGGCTCCCTTGTCTGAGATTGACTTTTCGCATGCTCATTTTTGTGTTTTCCTTTGGCAAGCACTATAGATTCTCTATCTAGCAACCTTCTTGTCTTCAGTATTATGTATATATTCTCTTACAAAAGCTTAATGTTGTTTTGCAGATGTTCACATCCATGATTAAAAATATGAGCCCAGAAATGATGGCAAACATGGGTGAACAATTTGGTGTTAAGCTTTCACCAGAAGAGGCAGCAAAAGCTCAGAAAGCCGTCTCATCCATGTCACCAGAGAGCTTGGATAAAATGGTATCTTCAAGCCCAAACTCTACACTATATTCATTTAGCCTGGCATTCATCAATAAAATTTAGTCTGCATTCATAAATAAAATTTTGTACCTAAGATGAGGATGGTAAATTAGACTTGTGGCAATTATAGGAAAGGTAAGATAAAATGCAAGTGAAAGTGAGATCCTTGGTTAATTGAAAAAACACATTATAGGGTTAGACAAGCTTAGGTTGGTTGGTTGTAGACTTGTTTTAGTACTAAGATGAACCTTTTCACTTTGTCTTTGTAGATGCTTTGGGCAGACAGGATTCAAAGAGGAGTTGAATCTGCAAGAAAGACAAAGAACTGGCTGCTAGGGAAGCCTGGAATGATCTTTGCAATATGCATGCTCATTTTGGCTATCATTCTTCACCGGTTAGGCTTCATTGGTGGCTAGAGTAAGGGTAAAACATTATGAGATTCCCTAGGCATTCAACCATAATCTTCTTGTGTGATGGCATGATTGAATATAAGCCAAGAGACAATGGAGAAAGGATGGGACAGACTATTGGTTACCTCGAAAGCAGTGCCAAATTGGCATCTCATCAGATGTGTCCAAATTGAGAATGTGACTGACTTTTTTTGTAATATATTAGCTTTTGAGTTGTTTGCCAATTAGCACTGGGAGGAACCCCACCATTCAATAAATTGGTAACCTTTTATCATTTTGGTATCCTAATCCTAATGTAGCGTTTGATTTGGTAAGATTATTTGTAAAATGTACACAATTACCTTTTTTGATGTTTTGCTCACTCAATTC